CCTAAAGCCCAAACTAAACCCTAAACCCCAAACTAAACCCCTAAACCCTAAACCCTAAGCCCCAAACTAAACCCCTAAACCCTAAACCCCAAACTAAACCCCGAACTCCTAAACCCCAAACCCTGAACTACTGAAACCGAGGTAGGAGGCCCATCGAAGATGGCTTCCGCCATGGTGAGACAGATTGAGCGGCAGGAAGGCAGTCAAGTGTTTCAGGGTGTAGGGTTTCGGGTTCAGGGTTTGGGGTTTGGGGCTGGGCGTTGTTGTTTTTTTTTGCAGGGGGGGTATGATGGACACTTGCGGGCTATTTGACAAGCGCGTTCCTTCGGCCGCCTATACACAAGGGGGGGGTTGGGGCTCAGGGCCTACGGTTCAGGGCGTTCAGGGTTTTGGTTGGGCTCGCGGGGTGTCGCTGCTAAAGCCGTGAGAGCATGACTCGAATTGTCGGGCGATAGCAATGGACCTTGGGTCAACTCCACATGGGCCTTTGTCGCAACTGCTCCTTTAAAGGGGTCTTCCTCGGATATGGTTCGTCATGGATTCCTCTTGGCGACTCATCCTGTACCTCATCGCAGCTGGTTCTTTTGCTTCAGAAGACTGTGGTTCTCGCTTCTTAACCTGGCGTCAGCATCAGAGTCAAGTGAGCCATGACACGCATGACCAGAGCCCTCCATAGCTCGAGCAGCCACCACAGATGATATCACTTAGGCAATGCGAGAGGAGCCTGGGGTGCCTTTGGATTTAGCTCCCGACCCCAATCGCCACTTAACCACGAGGCCGCGTCTTCGTCCGAGCTCGCGTCAACAGCATCCTTTTTGACAAAGATGGCCGTGCCACAGGTGTGCAGCTGGCAACATGGCAACATGAGTCGAATCCTTGCATCGGACCATCGGAAAGCTCGAGTTTGAAGCATCGAACATCGAGCCTGGGCCTAGGCAAAAGATGGTCTCACTATCCGGGCGCCCGTGGTAGTCCGGAGCTCGCAGCCCCAAAATGTTCTCTTCATGCACCGGCCCGCTGTTCTGAAGGTGTCGACCATTGGCTTACATGGTACCGAGAAGTTCTTGCAAGACCAGCCATGCCATGAGGAGGCCGGAACACCGTGGCGGTCAGGTCCAGGAAATTGCTTGGAGTTTTCCCCAAGCTTTCAAGCATGCTTGCCTCGTTGGTGGATGTAGATCTCCGCAGTCCCTGTGTAGACAGGTGTTTTCAAGGTACACGAGCACTGCACGGACAAGAGCTGCACGCTATGTGCGCATCAAGCTGTTACAGAGAGATTGATAGGCACGGAGACAAAGAAAACATGGTTTTGTAGCCAGGGGTTCGTGGGCACAGAGAGCATCGGGGAAAGATGGTAAACACCTGTATGTGTGTGTATATATATATATATCGATTTATGTATTTGTTTGTTTGTTTATTTATCCACAGGGCGAGATGTAGAGGATCGACAGGCAAAGACAGCAACAGAGACGACTTTGAGTTCATTCAAATGGGCTCGAAAATTCGCCTTGTCCGCTGGCCAGTTCGCTCGGCGACTGGAGCCACTGAAACGGACGCGATTCAGCTGCAAGAATTTTGGGCCTGAAGACTTACGTAGACTGTTGCGGTTAAGGCTACTTCATGGGATGGACATGGGTTCCATCATCCAGCTACGGTATACGACCCCTAGAAAGCCGATTGTTGTGCACGTCATATTTCTGACAAGGAGTTCCAATATGCAGAAGTTTGGTATGAGTGAGCACATGTGCTGAAGAACTTCCTTGTCATCGACCATCGGCGAATTTAGCTTGTCTGGGCACGAGGGGTCTGCTTGACACTTCTACTGCCCGCGTCCGGTGAGGGAGGGCGACTGGAAGAGTACGCCTCTGGGCAAGGCATGGACACCTCTTCCTGTTCGTTGGCATCCGTGGCAGCGCGGAGGCATTGACAAACTCTGAGCCCCCGACCCCGACCTTGATCTTTGTGGCAAGGGAGCTTGTCTGACAGGGTACCTGCAAATACTGGCAGGCTCGGTAACTGGGGCAATCCAGGGTGAGATGGGCGATGTCTCAGCCGGGTCTTGAGCTTGCCCGGCCCCTTCCCTGAAGAAACTTGCCAACTGGTTGGCCGTCGTGCTTCTTCGAAGGAGTTGAACTTGCCCCGTCACAACACCTGGATGCTGCCCGGAGAGGTCCAGCTCGGTTGCGGTGAATTTGTGAGGGTAGATGTTGCTTGAGAAAACTGGACCACACACGACCGAAGCAAGTTAAAGCTATTTCAGAGTTCGCGACGTGTTGGTATGAGTCGGAGGAGTACACGGGTAGGCTATAAGAGCAAAGCTGCATTTACTATGTATGAGTCAGGACCTGCCGAAGTGCATGGAAGAATTCCAGCGAGATCGAGATGCAGATGCTCCGTGCGCATGGCGTGCAAACAGACAGTCTAGCACTTGCTTCTTCAAACTCTCGGCTAGCGGTACGAGCAGTGCTTTTCCTCCCCAGGTTTGGCTATGTGGGAATGGCCTTTCCAAGCAGCAAGGAGTCGTTCTTGGGGTTGCAAGGTTGATATGATTTCTGGTCACTGCGCACTTGCCAGGATCCCTCCTACAAGGAATTTTATCCGGACCAATCGACCTGTGCTATGGTGGCAGGCAGGGCAGGGACAGCGCGGCAGAGCGATCAAAAGAGCTTCTTATCACAGTGGCTGCCGTGATGGTTTAAAACTCATGGGCTGTAAAGGTAGGTTCCAGTTCCATTCTTTCCAAGAGTTGCAAACAAGGTCTGCCAATGGGCTGCTAGAGAGCGTTCATCCTTAACGACATCCACATGCTGCTAGATACGGCATGAGAGTAAGTAGCCAGCCTTGTATCTGGTTGCCACCCACAGCTTCTGATGGGCAGAGCTTGTGGACAGCATCATCTCTCAATGTTTTAGCCCTGCATGGAACTCTGCCCGCATGCTCATGTCGATCTTGCCTGGTCTGGCACTGACTTGCAGGTGACATCCCATGGGAGTGGTTCGAGAAATGGAATGGCACGCGTGTGCATCACCGCGGCCAGGAGCAGCAATGCACGATTGCAAAGTTTCACATTTCGAGTCTCTGGCTTGAGAGCTCGGGCTCTCGCAATTGCTATGCTGTGAATGGACGATAGACAATACTTGTGGTGGGTAGAGATGCGTATGATGCACGAGATGTACGGGCAGCCGAGCCGCAGAGTCCTGAACGGTGCTGGCAAGCGTCCTCCCCACCGATGCCGTTGAGCCGGTTCTTAGTTGTTCCACTCGGCTGAGGGGGTACATTATACTATAATTATAATGTGGATTGGGGGTATATCATACCGTACTTGTAATAGGGTTTGGGGTATCGTATACTATAATTCTAATACTTCTGAGGTTTCAAAGCCTCGCCTGATGACTTGCTATGTTTCTGGGGGCGATAGAATTACTTCTTGGCTGGTTCTGGCTCTGTGGTTCTTGGCTCAGTTTGGCTTGGCTTGGCTCGGCGTCTTCTTTGGATGGCGCCTTGTGGCTGAGACTCTTGACCCAGTCTCCCGCAGGATTACGAAGACCTGAAGAAGAAATACGAACTTCGCTTGATGGACATGCTCTACAGCCAGCCGCACAGCCGCAAAACCTCTTTGTCTCTCCGGGTCTTCCTGGGCCAAATCCGAAGTTTCAGCTGGAAGCGGCCTTGGAAAAATGCCGACCTTTGTTCCCAAAGTCTCCAACAACCCTTAATTAAGGAATATACCTCAAATCATAATAGGAATCCTACTATAATTTAAGGTATATTCCTTAATTAAGGGATATTGGAGTCTGTCGGTTCAGCACTGCTCTGCAGGTCGACCGTTCTGATTGCTTACAGTTATTCACACAGCCCTCCCAGAACCTCCAAGAATTTTGGGGATGCATGACGAGCAGATACTGCATTTCCATGCCTACTTGTAGCGAGGGCTTTGATTCATTTGAGACTTGGAGGTGCTTGTCTTTTGGGCGGTACTTTCCTATGCATGAAGGGAAAGATGCTCCCTTCCTTGACAATGCGGCCGTAGATCGTCTAGCTAGTGAGTCAATATGATGACATGAAACGAAGTGTGTAGGGTGCATGTGAAGAACAGGGCACAAGCATGGAACGCGTAAGGAAAGCATGAGGAACACAACTGTGCCAGGAAGGTACCTAGCGACGTTCCATTCAGAAGTTTCGGAGAACATGGTCATGCAAATCAGAACGTGCACCGGAAGAAACCTTCTGACATGCATTTGGCTGTATCAGGGAATTTGGAACCCCGCCATCTTAGGTTCCCCCAAGTAAGGGGCCGCGTCCAGTACGTAAGCTTGGGGACGCCGCTGGACACCAACTTCTTTCTGGGCAAGCCACTCTGCTGAGTGTGGGGGCCATTGAAACAACGGCAAAGCTGGGTCTGCCCTTGCCTTAAGCTAAATTTGGGCCCCCTTTTCCGAAACAAGGCTCGGAGGGCATCGCCCAAAGGGCTAGGGCGCTTCCGTGGAATCCATTTGGTTTCTGGTGAGCTGAAGACACCTGCTCTGTAGCTTCTCAAGACATCCCAAGAACAGTACAGTGGTCAGGAGTGTTGCAGGTTCCCGGAGCATCTTGAACCCCTGTCTACACAACCTTCCCCGATACCAAAGCGACCGTGACGCGCCCTTGAGTGGCCCAGGACCCAGGGAGAGCATCACGGCTGCACCAATGATAGTCTCAGTTCAGGACACACACTTGTTCGGCCATGTGCGGAGATACTTGGGATGCCAGAGTGCGGAGTTTGGGTCAGTTCGCGGACACAACCATGAGGAGAGATTCACGACTGTGCCAACACGGTTTACTGCTACGTTTGTTGGGAGTTTCAGTCAGTCCTGAGTACCTCAGTGGTAGATACAGAACACTTGTCCGAAGCTGCAGCGCCCGTCGTCTCAGCCTGTAGGTCCTATGGGCTGCAGCAGACTTTGGCGAAGACATGGGCGGACACCCACTGGCTTTTTGCTAAGCCCATAATCCAGCGGTGGCCAGATGGCCTCTTTCTGGCAGGGCAAGACGTGACCTCGCAGCACGCACGACTTTGGCGCTTGGGTGTGGTTTGCGTGAGAATCGTGCCGTCAGAGTGGTTCCGGCTGATGTTGTGCCAGGTTACCAGCGACGGATTCGCACCCTCGGTTGTTTCTGCGATATTGGCAGCCTGTGCTATTGCCGCTTGCCACAAGTTGGAGGTTGCAGATAGTTGAATCTGTTTCATGTCTCGAGGCTAATCAGCTAATCCCTTCCCCCGGGGGAGCCCCCCCCCAGCCCGTTTAATATTAGGGGGAAGGGATTAATAGGACTCGCGCGGTGGATGGCGCACATGGCTTGTGCAGAAGCACACACCTGCAGTAGAAATGCCGCGATGCCTACGGGTACCAGCACCGTCAGCATCATTGCATCATCACAGGCGGCACCGTCAATGTCATCATCACCATCATCATCAGCATCGTCATCATAATCATCATCATTTTATGTCCATTGTTCATCATCTGCTTCTTCATCCTCATCACAATCACCATCATCATCATCATCATCATCATCATCATCATCACCATCTTCATCTTCATCACCATCGTCATCAACATTACTGTCAGCATCATCATCATCATCCTCATCATCCTCATCCTCATCATCATCATCATCATCATCAACAGCACCATTATCGTCATCATAAAAATCAACATCAATATCATCATCTTCTTATTCATCATCATCGTCAGCATCACCATCACCATCAACATCATCACTAGTATCATAATCATCGCCGTCATGCTTGATTCCGACGATCCCATCCTCATCATCACGGCGCTACCTTCGACTTTATCAGCTTCGTCGTTGGCAGTGCCAATATGTAGCATGATCACCATCCTCTTCAGCTGCTGCCTCAGCACCATCGACCGCAGCATCACCACACGTAACACCACGATCACCGCCGTCGCCATTGTCATCGACAGCCTTCCAGCATCAGAAACATCACCATCGTCACAACCATCCCGCATCCATCGAAATCATCACAATCAGTGGTGATTCGGACGCTGACAATCAGGGTCGTGACGATGACGCGCACTGTGTCGATCTTCATGCTTGATCCGTCCTACTGCTAACTAGAAGGCACCGACGATGAGAGCGGCGAGAGGTGATGAAGTAAACACAACGTGAGCCACAGATCGCTGAATCGGTAGGCCCGGTAGGCGACATGGAGCGAGTGGGCGGCTGCAGCCCGGGGGGCCTTGACCGGCCTCCATGCCCGATGGGAGAGAGAGAGAGAGAGAGAGGCAGAAGCGTATGTTGAAGAAGATTTGACTATGACTTCTGTCATCGTTGTTTTTTTGGGCTCTAGCTTTTCATTAGCTCGACGACACTTCGATTCTTACACAGTCCTATACCAGCCTTTAAATAAGGGTGGACCTCTGTCCCCGAGGGTGTGGGAGAGCGAGAGTTTTGAACAAATTGCAGAAGGGATCGGGAAAACTGCAGCTCTCAACCGCGAAGTCCAAGATCGTGGATGAAAGAGTCTTTTTCCAGTCCGCTCTCAGCTTTGACTGTTTTGAGAGCTCTTTTGCGTCCAGTGCTTGCAGCAGCATAATCAGGACGGATTCCTGCCTGCTTGGCTTCAAATTGTGTCCATGATCCTCGGCAGACAAGACTGGGTGTGGGGGGGGTGGGGGTTGCAAAAGTCTTCGGTATAGGTATAGATACAGAAATCATAAATGCATGTAACATATATATATATATACACATACATATGTACACACATTCTGATGCGTGAACATATGTGTATATATATATAGAGAGATAACTAGCTAGATAGATTTAGATGGATAGATAGATAGGTAGATGCAGATGGATAGATAGTGGGCTCAGGGTTTAGGGCCAGGGTTTCGGGCTACCAAGTTACATGATGCATTCTTCGCGGGCCTTGAGCCCCTAAACCCTAAACCCTAAACCCTAAACCCTACCTTCCCCCCTTTTGCAGCGCCCAGGTTGGGGCTCTGGGGGACTCTGAAAGCGCTGCTATCGAGCCCTGTCAGAAGTGTTCCCAAAGACTCCAACATCCCTAAGTTAAGGAATATACCTTAGATCATAATAGGGATCCTACTATAATTTAAGAGTATACTCCTTAATTAAGGGATATACCTTAAATCATAATACGGATCCTACTACAATTTATGGTATATTCCTTAATTAAGGGATGTCGGAGTCTGTGGGTTGAGCTGACTTCAGGCCCGATGCATGTTTCAGGTGGCTTTCTGCAACCAGGTGCATCTTGTGATAGTAGTTTGATTCGAGTAGGCCTTTTAGGGTTTAGGGTTTCGGGTTTAGGCCACTGGGGACAGGTGTGGGGCCAGATTCTTCTCCTTCCGACAAGTAGCAAGTACAACATGGGTCCACGAGGTGACCCTGCCGGGTGATGCCCTCTGAGGTAGCCGCTGCCAGTGCCAGGCCCCTCTTGAACCTCAGACGTGCATGTCGGAGCTGTTAAGAGCAGAGTTGGAATCTCAATGTGCTTTTACACGATTTTCCATGTGACGGCAAGAGCCAAGACCTTTTATGTCAACGGGCAACTTTCGGCTAGCGGCTAGTTTTCGCTTGCTGAGCGGTTTCCTCGGCTTGTGCTACTGTTTTTGCAGCTACGCCCAACGCATCCCTCACGTGAACTGACAAAATGCCTGAAAAGGAGGAGGAAACTGTTTGCCGAGGGATATCTGCCTCTCAAAACGCGATTTAGTGCAGGAGTGACACCCTGCAATACATATCCGCATTTAGGTTACCCACAGACTCCAACATCCTTTAGTTAAGAAATTTACTATAAATTACAGAAGGATCCCTAATATGATTTAATGTGTAATCCTGAATCAAGGGATATTGGAGTCTTTGGGTCGTCTTTTCACAATTCCCACCAGCGTGCATGTGCCGCTCCTTACGGCCTCCACTACTGAAGCACTGGCCCGCAATAATATAGGGGCCTCAATATTTAGAATAGTTGAAAGTAGGTTTTGGGGGCCCCTTATTATAATTAAAGTTTATAGTCTAATGGGACCCAAAACCCTATTTTCATTATTAAGGCCCTACACTACAGCGCCAGAGCTCGCTCCCTTAAAGCCGGCTGCTGCTTCGCAGAAAAGTGGCCACTGCGGAAACCCTTGGGGCCTTGGCCGAACCCTAAACCCTTAACCCTAAACCCTAAACCCTAAACTCTTTATCCCTAAACCCTTAACCCTAAACCCTAAACCCTAACTCCGTTCTGTGTGCTGGCTCCCCGTGTGGGAGTTTCCCAGGATTGGGGTTGCTGATTTTGGGGTCCTTATAATAAGTATCCTACTATTTAGGGTACTATATTAGGATCCCCTATATTCGGAAACCCCCGTAGTTGCAATAGAATTTCCCACAGCTGCCTTTCGGAACATGGAAGCTTGTCAGAGTGTTTTGAGTTCCCAGAGAGTGTGGAAGCATCTAGTAGATCACTTTCATCTGTGGCTTTGCGCTTGCACTCGCCGTGGCCATTTGGCTACGACAGCTAGTCTCAATGGGTCTGGGTTGGCTATCGGTCGGTTTGATCGGAAGCTCAACAGTACAGTGCAGTAGACTGACGGTCGGAGAGTGTTTCTGAAACCCTAAACCCTAAACAGGGTGAAGGGTTTAGGGTTTAGGGTTTCGGTTCCCCAAAAGAGTGTTTCTTAAACCCTACACCCTAAACAGGGTTGAGGGTTTAGGGTTTAGGGTTTCGGTTCCCCAATAAACTGCAGAAGTTTCGATACATCGCACCTACGGTGGACGGAGATCCCATGGACTCTCTCGGCAGAGCGCAGAGCAATGCCTCGAGACGGAGTGTTCTGGGGCGGAGGTATCCCTATGCCCAAAGCAGTACTTACCTTAAATACTTGGACAGCATAACAACTAGATACATATGTATGTATATATGTATGTATGTATAGATAGATGGATAGATGGATAGATGGATAGATGGATAGATGGATAGATGGATAGATGGATAGATAGATAGACAGATAAATAGATAGATAGATAGATAGATAGATAGATAGAATGCACAGGTTTGGTGCTGGAGGAGCGCTCTGCATCATGCTGGCCTGGCAGTACGGGGAGCTTGGGAGGAGCTCCGAGGGAGGGATGAGTGGATTGATGTGACGCAGCCTATATGGAAGTCTCAAAACGCCATCATCGCAATGATATTTGTAGAAGGAAGACTTGGAGATTCAATACCAGTTATCATGACAATCACACTGATTCTGGGCAATGCTGGATTGCATTGCAGGGCACTGTTACTGTTACGACCGTTGTCCTTGTTGTTTGCTAAATGTTTTGATGCGACACATGGTTGTTCTCGAGTCATAGAGTGTTCGACTATCTATGTGGTTCTGGCTTCGGGGCTTCGGCATCAGATGCTGCAGAAGAGACGCTTTATCAGGAGGTTGGTTTTGCAGAGCGAAGGCGGGCGAAATCAGGTAAGCATCATAGCACGATACCGCTCACAGCCTTAGCATAGCCGGAGTTGAAGCATCAAAGAGCCAACGTACCGAACTCCTTCTCCATGTCTTTTGTGACGTCAATTGGGAGGACGTGGACGGCCCCGACACTGTCACTACCGAGTCTGACCACAATGCCTGCGCACCTTGTTGCAGAAGTTGGGCTTCCTTTCGAGTTGCGTTACAAGCTACGGCCTTTCCCAACAACATCTCTGCACCCTGCGGCTCATCCCCTACCGTCCACCCCTTCTCCTTTGCCTCTCAGCTGATCACCAGGTTTGGCAGAGCCTCCGTCAGGCTTTCTCGCCGAACTTTAGTAGCCGGGCGGCAAGGAGGAGCATCTCTTGCCTGTCACGGCTCAGCCCTAAAATGGCAGGGGCTTGTCTAAGGAGGCTTGATGAGAAGGGCCCACATACAGAGTATAGCATAACATAATGCAACATAACATACTATCATTTCAGAAGCAAGAGGCAATGTCCTCGTGTCTCTGCTCTCCTAAACCCTAAACCCTAGGCTCAACATCCTAAACCCAAAACCCTACACCCCAAACCCTACATAAGCCCTCAACCCTTCCCCCCCCACAGAGAGAGCTTGAGAAAGGGCGCCTGCATCTCTTCGGACCCTGAGCCGCTTTGCGGCTGTATCCGATAAGGTTTGCATAATTTCAATCGTACGGGCAGTATGAGATCAGTTAAAGGGTACTATAAGGGTAGTATGAGAATATCTAAAGGATACTGTAAGGGTAGCATAAAAATATTTAAATGGCATTAGCTGGCATCTTCAGTGCCAACACATGACCGTGAAGCTGTTCGCCACGAAGGCATTGCGAGCTGCTGGCGTCAACCCTTTCGCCATGCGCCTCGGTTTCCTTAGGATCGGGAGTTTGAACTGGTGCCTCCTACTTAACAAGAAGGAGTCTTTGCGCGCAGTGGGGCTCTCAGTTTTTGCGAGCGCTGCCTCTGCCAGGGCACGCACCGACGTCAAATCGACGCTCTTCAGCTGCCTGGACCAAGACGGAGACAGGCTCCACAGTCGCAAAGGGAAAGCTCTAAGATTTCAATGAATGAGAACAGTCCGCGTTGGTGCCGATGCATGAGCTCTGTGTCTCCCCTTCTCCCGCTTCCTTCGCCTCTCGTTGTCTCAGTCCCCGTGATAGGATACTTCTCTTCCCGTGGCTCTCTCTCTCTCTCTCTCTCTCTCTCTCTCTCTCTCGCTCTGTCTCTTCCAAAAGAGGCGTCTGAATCGAGCCGAAATGAAGAAGTTTGCGGAGATGACAGGCTTCGAAGGCCGGGTATAAACGGGGGCTCAAGGCTGCCACCTGGGGAATTCGGGAAGAGCCCGTTACAGGTGAACATCCTAAGCTGCACGATGTCAGGTTCCGATGAAGACTGGGCCGGGGAGTTCGAGCCATGGTCGCACAGTATTCCTCCACATCAGGCTGGCCGAGATCGGTCTCCCATGTCTCCCCCTCCCCATGTAAGGCGCTCGCAACCCATCTTTCTTTGGGCTGCTTGCAATCTTTTACAGCGCAGTGCATTGGACGATAACATCACTCTTGAGGCAGAATCGTCAAGTTGTTGTTTCAAGCTTGGCCCTAAACCCTGGACCTAAACCCCAACCCCTAAACCCTGAACCCTCTTCGAGATGCGAAAAAGCAGATGTCTTTGCACTTCGTCAGCGTCTCTCGGTTTCCAGGCCACTCTTAAAAGTTGAAGCCGGCTCTCTTGATATCATTATTGCTATTGTGAATATTATTGTTGTTATTGTCATTACTGTTATTATTGTTGTTAGTGTTATTATGAGTATTATTTTCAATATTTTTCGTTTTCATTATTAGTATTAGGGTTCTTGCAAGTCGTTTTGGGGATAGGGAACGGCTAAACGCAGGGCAATATAATGTTCCATTAAGCACCTCAGGACACTGGTCGAGCCGGATTTGGAGCAAGCTACGTTTATAAGCCGTCCAAACAGAGTAATTACCTGCATTGAATGGCGGGCTCCGGTCTGAGGGGGCTTCCTAGGAGTCCAAGACGAGCTTCGGGTCTAGACAGTTCCCACTGCTTTTGGTTAAGTTGGACTGTCTGCTTTCTAAGGTGTAATGTCTTAAGAAGTGGATGGGGAGCCTATGCCTCAGGAAGTCCTATGTGAGCCACAAGGATGCGACTTCGCCGCGTTCTCCCGGTGCGCGATGGGAAGGGAAGAGTTTTGAATCCAGAAGCCATGAACGACATGCCCTAAACTCTCAAAACCTGTAGCTGAGTTCGCAAGCTGAGTTGTCGACGACTGAAGTTTGCAGTTGTAACTACAGCTCGCTCGACGACAGAAGCTGGGATTAAAGATCAGCTGTGTGTAAGACATGTAAGAGTCACAACATCAAACTGTAGCATGTGGGATTCTTCTTGAGTCTGCCAGCCAGCGAGGCTTATCGACGACGACTCCGACGATGGGCTCTATTGCGAAGACGCAGAGCCCCTCGCCAGAAGGATTTCAGGGTCTTGTCAGCACTATGCTCGTTATCAGTGTATGTCCGCATTTCGATGATACTGACGGCAGTAGTGACGGCGGACAGGACACGGACCAGTCTGCTCACTGTTCTTCTGTGTTTAGCACAAAAACTCGGCGAAGATGTGCGCAGCTGGATTTGCAACAAGAGAGCAGCTGCATGAGTTACGTAGACACTGGAAATCCAGACAGTACGGTAAGAGTTTTGAGCGAGTCAAGGTTGGCAGACATGTTGAACCAGCTCCTGATGAGTGGCGTCGGGACCGGCGAGTCAAGCAGACACCAGCTGACAACCTTCTGTCCGCATGGCATCCGTGCATCCGACATGTGAGTAGTGAGCAGTGTCGACCCATTGTCAACAGAGAGATTTCCGGATTCCTTGATTCCAACATATACCAACCATGGGAGCAGATTGGAGTGAACGATGGGTTTTGGAGCAG